GCTTGGGGGGCGGAGCAGGGCGCTTGACTTCCCTCCGAGTGTTTCCCCCACTCAACTTGGCAATGCAGATAAAAGAGTAAGGTGACATTTTCCCTTAAGTTTCTGAGGTGAAACGGGAACACTTGATTCTGTGCTACCCAAAAAAACAAAACAGAAAAACCTCTCCACTTGCCAAATCTGATGCCAAAAGTTAACTAGCTCTTGGAACGCTGCTTCCACAGAAAATGCATTAGTGGGAATTTTAACAGAAAACCCATTATACCCGTGCTGTTAATAAACCTTTTGCAAGTTCTCCTCTTCAGAAAAAGAAAGAGGTTCATTTTAATACTAATAGTTCTAAAGAAAATAAAACATTAATTATCTATTAAAATTCCTTTTTGCGGGGGGAGTGGGCCAGTAGAAGAACAAAAGATTCGAAGGCTGGAGGCTTTCCTCCTCTGTTTGACAACTAGACACATTCCTAACAGCGCAGGAGGGCCACCCTAATAAGATGGACCTGAAGAGTGAAAGCCCAGGCCCAACCACGGATGATCCAGCAACCCCAAGTTTAAGGCTCCTGTCTTTCTTTTAACACATCCCACATGAAGAGCCAACACTGGCAACTTAAAAAAATGTATGTTCTAATTACACATTTTCATCTTGACAGTATTTCTTGACATATAAACAAATCATAAAAGGTAATCAAACATACAGTCTTAATATAGTTTCAGGATTAGGATGCTATTTTCCTTAATTGTTATTTTACTATGTAATTTAAAACACTACTTCCTTACAATTGATAATTATCTATGAAAAAAATCAAGTTAAATAAGAGGGGAAAAAACAATGGTTCTTGGAGACTGGAATGGAACTAGCAATACTAGCAGGCACTTCTTAAGAAGATATTGGCTCCATTTTCAGACGACTATGAGTTGTTTGTTTTTGAATTTAAGAACACCCATTTACAACTGTCTTTCCTGTATATACTCATGGTTTCAGAGTAATAAACATCAACAGAATTATTGGATTTGTTAGCACATTTCTTCAGAAGAGCTTAACCGCTCTCGATGTTTGCAGTCTCCTGGACCTCCCAGTGGCCCTGCCACATAGAAGGGAGAGGCTCATAATTGCCCCATTTCACAGAAAGAGAAAATGAGAAAGAGGGATTAAATGGCTTCCTCTAGTCACACAATAACTCATTAAGATCAGCAACTAGAAACCTGGTTTCCTGATTCCTGGTTTAGTGTTCCACATACTATGCTTCCTTCTACGAGGTACTATTTTTGTAAAGGTTTCTCTTTCAATAAAGGAAATAGAACAAGTCATGTGACTTTCATTCACGAAAGCCTGAGTGTGTTTTCATTAGCACCTTAGTCCTCTGTTCCTGGGAATAGGGCTGAAGCAAGGCACCTTATCATCATACTGTGACAGAGCTAGCCAAGGAAAGCAGCAAAGCATGCACAACAGAAAACATAAAGGGTATGTGGTTTGTCAAGCAATCTCACTAGAGTTCTCGAGTTCTAAGACTCTTTAGTTCTTTGCTCTGAGACTTCAACAGGCAATACTCTTAAAAATAAATCGTGATTGTATTGCTCCTTTGGAAACATTTCTTATCCCATAATTCTTTTACCATAGGATGAATAAATAGTCCTTTTATCAAACAAAATTTAAATACAAATGCTTTCAGTGATAATTCTTATCTAACCTGCCTTGTACATACATATAAACCAATTTTAGAATAAAAAATCCGACTAAAGAGGAGTACTAAGATAGTATATTTTATGACATATACCAATCTATAATCATAACACAAAAATATATAAAGTTATTGTTAAAAAGCAGTTTTAAAGCACAACAAATTCAGTAACATATTTCAAGTTTCCAAACAACAACACTCTAACAGATTGGCTAGATTTTTCTACACACACACACACACACACACACACACACACAACACACAGTAAGTAACCTTTCCCTACTCCCAAATAAGATGCATAATTTAGAGTTAAATTTTTATTTGCTCTGGACTAAGATATACACACACACACACACACACACACACACACACAGTTAAGGTGTACTCACTTTTTAAGTGGATCTAGCGTTGAAAGCCCACCCCCATTCCCACTTCTATTGTAAACAACTATCAAACATTGCTGGAATCTTTCGTCTTTGTTACCGCTTATGCAGATATCAAACACTACCCAAGTGACCCCAAATTATTCTGCTTCAGCACGACTAATGAAGTTTTTCCAGGCAGAACCCGAGGAGCTCGACATGGAAACGTATGTGAGTTCTGAGAGCCAGGGCAGGGCACGGAATGACCCAGGAAGTTCTTTTTCCATTCCATCTTCAAAGAAATGCTTTGCAAGTCTCCCTTCTATAAATCATCCTCTCAAAGGACACTTATCTCCCATGAACTTTTTACTTATGAGCACCACAAACAAATGTCTACGTGCATATGCGAGTTCAACAAAAGTGGATGTGCATTCTGAGTCTCTACATGTTCTCTCTCTGGCTCCACAGGCCACAACTTAGGTTCCCCATTAATTAAGATGACACCCTCATCTTTCCTAGTCTACTGCTCTCCATGCTCACACTAGTTTACTAGAAACCCATTTAGCCTGTCGTCCTTTCTTCAAAATGTGGTTTCGGCACAATGGATCAACTGCAGTTATCTATTTTGCTTAAAAATAGCCGTTTTCCTTCTTAAAAGCATGTTTACCATAATGCCCACACACACTTTGAAAAACAACAACCAAGACCAGTCCCTCATCTTTGTTCAGCCACCATGGGACATACAAACTGCTACTTTGATTTCAGAATCCCGTATCCTATAGGTCGAAAGGAATTTTATACTGGTGGGAAATATTAAACAAAACAAGCTAAATGAAGTCTCTAACTAAACTTATCTCCTGCAGTTTCAAATTTTCCCTAGACTGAAAAGAGCATGATAGCATACATGAATCACATTTCTGAATGTATCCACTTCATCAGAAAGGCCTTGAGTCCTTTTAGGCCCGTGGACGCAAACTCCAGCTCACTCCTGTTACTGCAAGAACCCATTCCTGCGGCCCTCCTTGATCCAGTCCAGGTTTTCACCGCCCACTCTACCAAAAGCAGTAAAAGGTGTTATGTTCTCAGGCTGTTTTTCTGATTAGAATCAGATTTCAACAAAATGTACTTTCCTGTTCACCACGGCATATACCCATCTGGGCATACCAAATACATTTGTGTGCGTATGTGTTTTTTCCCCACTCAATTCTAGTTATGCCGGTGTGTTTATATGGCCTGTGTCTTGTACGGCAGCTAACCTTTCAACTCCTGACACACTGGCAATTTTTCAGACGTACCTGTAGTGCTTAACATGACTCCAAGCCAAGTGACCTTCAGCTGACAGTCATCTTTCTGGGACACATTCTGACAACTTCCAGTTGATTTAATTAGATGCGGAAGCACCATACTCCTGATAATTCTTTTCATCTTTTATTCTATGGTTTAAACAAAATACTAAATAGCTTTTCCTCTATTATATTAGAATAACAGGGAATTTACCCTACAGCTATAATTTTAGATCCCATGGATACTATAAAACATATACTGGATTTAGATAGCATGAAACGGGTCTGTTTGCTTTAAGAACAAAAGGACTGTGGATCCCCAAGCCACCTCCATCATCACCTTGTGACCCCTGCAGACTTTTGACCTTAGGCCGGCATCTAGGAGAGCATCCACATAATACTCTTCACTACCATGTGCTTTGTGGATCCCAGAGCCTCTACCTGACTAGCAGCCCCGCACAGAAGCATCTACAAAATTAAAGAGACTCTCTTGAACATCCTTACGCCTCTCTCTCCCAGTCATCATTCAAAGTTTGAGACAGTCAGAATGCACTGCCAGCTGCAAAGCAAGCACATCTCTCTCTCTTCACGGATATTTGCTGAGAAGGGGAAGAACAATGCAGGACACCATCCCATCCAATTGTTCTTGAAAAGATCCGTGTTGTTGTCTTCCCCTGGTTTTCTCTAAAGCACTGATTCTAAATCCTGGCTGCACATTAACATCACCTGGGCAACTGAAACACGCGGCGCTGGGCTCTGACCAGCCGATGCTTTACTTGAACGTGTCTGGGGTGATGTCCAGTAGGTAATTTCTCAAACCTCCTCAGGTGAGTCTAACCTGGGGCAGGGTTCTCAGAGGATGGTCCCCTAACCAACAGCATCAGCACAACCTGGGAACGCCTTAGGAATGCACATTCTGGGCCACAGCCCAGACTACTACTTCAGAATCTGAGGCTGTACACAGCCCAGCCATCAGGGCCTCAGCACACTCCCCGGGGGCACTCCCAGGGATGCTCAAGTCTGAGAACTACTGTTCAGAGCTGTGTTTAAGCAGTGTTACCCTTTTAGCCCCTTAGGAGAAAAAGAACGTCTCTGACGGGAAAGCTCCTACCCCTTATGTGTAAACTGTAAATGGTTAACTGCTCCCTTTCAGCAGCCACCAAGATGGATGCTCACTTCCTAAACGACTTTCGGGCCTGTTTTTATAAACTGTGAGGCTTAGCAAGAATCAGCTGGGGCCCAGCTCAGGAAAACAAAGACAAAGGTGAAGGCTGCAGCCTGGGAGCGGTCAGAACTTCAAGTCCCTTCCTAGCAGAACTTGCCCACCTCTCAGATCAAGAGACCTGCCTGCTGTCTCTTTGGGGGGCTGACCTGGGGAGCACCTCCAGACGTACAAGATGGGAAGAGAAGGGCTGTGGGAAAGAATGGGGTGGGGCGGAAAAAACAAATCAAGTCTCCTGAGTCAGAAGCTTCACATTCAACTCAAAGACGACTGCTCTTGGCAAGGTCTTTGGGGAAAGAGGAGGACCTGGGAGCCAGAAGTAAAACAAAACAAGCAGCCTGGGCCGATATTTTGGCATGTAGGTCAAGGTGCCAGAGAAAGGAGGAGGAGTGAACCCACTGACGCTCCCCCACTTTCCCACGCTTCCTCCCACCAGCCGCAATCTCCAAGGACCTCACCTTTCACAATCGTGGCCTCCTTCAGGTGATGGGACAAGAAGTCAATGCTGGCATAGGTGTTGGCGGAGGGCAGGGCACCAGGGCCCGGCCCCCCACACACCCCGCCGGTGCTGCTGCCCCCCACGGCGCTGATGAGACCCCCGAGGCTCCGGGTCCGGCCCCAGGCGCTCTTGTCTCCCGGCTGCGGATGCTGCGGATGCGGCTGCGGCGGCGGCTCGTCCCTCACGTCGATGGCGATGTAGTTGAGGCCATTCTGGAAGCCGGCAGAGGTCTCCCTGCGCATTGGAGAGCCACTGCCACCGGGGCAGCCAACCAAGCCCCCAGGCTGACCCGGTGTCCACGGCCGCGCCTGCTGGGGCAGCGGGGGCTGCAACTGGCGGGGGGATGCGGGGGACTCGTCACCCCCACCGAGCATGCTGCTGCTGCCCCCTTCGCTGGTTTTCCTGAGAGAAACGTTTTCCACAGAGGCCGAGTTGTGGCGCTTCGGGTTGTGGGCGAAGGACGGGGACACGGGGGTCACAGTGGTGGTCGAGGAGAAGGTCTCCGAGCTGTGGCGGCGGCGGCCCCCCTGCGGGTCTGCGCGGATGACCTTGGCCCCCCGGTGCGGGTCTGGGGGCTGGCTGGCCTGAAGGAAGGCCTCGACCCCCGACACCTGATCCATGAGACTCAGCCTCTTCACGCCGGACGTGGGGCTGGTCACGCGGGCACCTTCTGATTTCGGGGGTGCCGCGATGGGTTGTGGCGGGGTGGCAGCCACGCCAAAGGCCATCTCGGTGTAGTCACCATTGTCCCCAGTCTCCGAGGACGAAGAGGAGGCAGCGCCGGGGTCCTGGGAGGTGGATGCTGGAGGCAGGCGGTACAGCTCCCCTGGGGAGGGCGGAGGGGGGGCCAGCGGCTGCAGGGAGGAGCAGGGGGCGGCAGGGCGCGGGGGCAGCGGTGGGTACGGGGACGAGGCCTCGGGGGACAGGAGGGCATCCAAGGAGCCCACGGGGTCCCCCCTCTGGGTCCCCGGCTTGGGAGACTTGGGCGAGCTGAAGTCGAGGTTCATGTAGTCAGAGAGCGGGGAGCGCTGCCGGCTGTCGCTGCTCGTGCCCGGGGTGCCGGAGCCCAGGGACGAGGCCGGGCTGCTGGCGGACAGCAGCGAGGAGGATGAGGCGGCCGAGGCCAGCAGCGGAGGGGCGGGCGGCGACAGGCGCGCCCCGGCCTCGCTGAAGTCAATGTTGATGTACTCGCCAGGGCTCTTGGGCTCCGGCGGCAGAGGGTACTCGTGCATGCTGGGCAGGGTCTGAAGCCCCTCCAGGGACAGCCGCGTGGGCCGCACTGCCCGGCAGCGCTGGTTCAGGAAGCCCTCTGGGCGGCCGCTGCCGCTGCCACTCGGCCTCCCGGGCGAAGGCACTACGGGGTGAGGAGGCTGCGTGTGGCCGCCCCCAGCGGACCCGGTGGCGAAGGCGCTGGCCGACTGCGTGGTCCCCGGGCTGGCCTGCGGCTCCAGTCTCTCCTCTTCCAGGATGCGCCCCACGGGGGAGCTCATGAGCACGTACTGGTCGTGGTCCCCATCACAGGTGTAGGAAGCCTTGTAGGATCGAGGCAAGGAGCTGTAGCAGTAGCCGGGGACGCCCTTGAGCATCTCCCCGCCGGGCAAGGCTGCCGAGAAGAAGTCGGGCGGGGTTCCCGAGGTGCCCGCGTCGCTGGGGGACATGTTGAGGTAGTCCCCGTTGGGAAGCAGCTTGCTGTCGGCGTTCTCCATGGACAGCTTGGAGCCACACCACATGCGCATGTACCCACTGTCCTCGGGGGAGCTCTCGGCCGGCGAGCTGGCCTTGTAGCCGCTGCCCCCGTTCACTGGAAAGGCCCGGCAGGCCACAGAGGCGGGCGGCGGCGCTGCGGCTCCCGTGGGGGGCAAGGCCGCGGCAGCGGCGCGAGGCTGCAGGATCTGCTTCGGTGCAGACACGCTGGTGGGGCTCATGGGCATGTAGTCGTCACTTCTGCAGCTGCCGCTGCCGCCACCCATGAGGGCCACGCCAGGGGTCATTGGCATGTAGCCATCGTCTGTGCCCAGGTTACTGCTAGAGCTCCTATGGGACCCAATTTCGATGTCACCGTAGTCCTCGGGATAGGGGTGGTAGGCCACTTTGGGGGAGGACGCGGGGCAGGACGGGCAGAGTCGGCCCGAGCTGCCGGAGAAGGTGGCCCGCATCAGGGTGTATTCATCCAGGGACGCAGAGGAGGGCTGGGGCACCGGTCGCTGCCGAGCAGGTGTGGTCAGGGAGTAAGTCCTCTTCCTCAGCCCTCTGTCCAAGTCCTGGGCCCCGTCCCCTGAGACTCGGCGGTAGGGGCGGCCACAGTGGCTCAGGGGTCTGTCCATGGTCATGTACCCGTACAGCTCCCCCGCGCTGCCGTCCCTGGCCGGGGGGGTCTCGGCGATGGACTCCGGCGTGTTGCTCCTGTGGCTGCAGAAGGCTCTCAGGTCCCCAGGGCTGGAGCCGTACTCGTCCAGGGACATGAAGCCGGGGTCGCTGGGGGAGCCTGAGGCTGAGGCGCTGCCGCTGGAGGGTCTCTGGCCCGCGGGGAGATGCAGGGGATGCTGCAGGTGCGGGTGCGGGGCCGGAGGCGGCGGGTAGGAGCCTGAGCCGTGCCCGCTGCTTGACGACAGGCTGCCGGGGCTGGTGGCGGCCGGGGGCGAGTACGCCACGGGCATGGACATGGAGCGGCTGTGTTGCAGGGCGCCCCCTGCCGGCGCCAGACTCACCTTGCCCGCGCGGCCGCCGCAGCCGCCGCTCAGGGTGTGCGAGCGGCTCAGCGGCGCGCGCACCGGCCCGGGGCTCAGGGGGCTCCCCGACACCGACACGGGCCTGCCGCCCGCCGCCCCGGTCCCTGCCGCCGCGCCGCCGTCGCCCTCGCTGGCTGTGCGCACCCGGCAGGAGCTGCACTTGGCGGCCGGCGGGGTGGCGGCCAGGCTGTCGGTGCGCGAGCGGCGCACCAGGCCTGTCTGGCTGGGGGGCAGGTTGACCAGGTGGTGGTGGCGGCGCGCTCCGGGGACGCTGATGGGGTGCGTGGCCGACGAGCCCGACGACTGGCTCTTGCTGCGCGGCCGGAACTCGAAGAGCTCCTTTAGCGCCTTCATGGCCTCCAGGATGGTCTCGTGGATGTTCTGCGCCACCACCGAGTCGTCGGCCTGCATCCACAGCTCGCCAGGGCCCGTGACGGCCGAGCGGCCCACCTCGATAAAGAAGAAGCTGTCCGAGTGGCCGCAGCGGCGGATGTTCATGAGTTGCAGCGTCACCGACGGCTGCTCGCAGTTGAGCTTTACGAAGCCGATGGTGCGCGCCGACAGGCACAGGCGGTACACGCCCGTCAGGTTCTTGCTCTGACCCAGGCCCTTGGGCTTCAGGTTCACCTGCCACACCTCGCGGTAGGCGGCCGTGGCGGGCGCCACCAGCCCGTAGCTGTCATCGGCCGCGGCGGCGCCGGCCGAGCCGCCCAGGGCGCCGGGCAGGGAGGCGCTGCAGGACACGGCGGTGGCGGCGGCGGGGGGCGCGTCGCCGGCGCCCGCGCGGCCCTCGCTGACCAGGTCGGTGAGCGCGCGGTACCAGCCCTCCTGCTCCTGCTCGTTCTCGGCCGCCACGGCGAAGTACTCGTCCTTGGTGTAGAGGGCGATCAGGTACTTGTGTTTGGCGTCGGCGCGCTTGTTGATGTTCAGGCAGCAGTCAAGCGCGATGACCCGCTTCGGGGCGCCCGCCTTGCTCCGCCACTTCTTCTCGCTCTCGTAGTACTCGAGCCGCGGCGGCTGCGGCGCCGGACCCCCGCCCGCTGTCGTCGTCGCCTCGTCGCCGCCCGCGCCGGGCCCGCGCAGCACGAAGAAGCGCTTGTGGCCGTGCT